ATACAGCGAATATCACGTACTAAATATGCAGCAAATGCGCCACGATAGTTCCCCGATAAACTCTAAATACCGTCTGCGGATTGGTCTGACAGTCTAACGTTTGGATAAAGGCTTTAAACTCTTATAACCATGACTATGCACTTCTTTTGATACTGACAGATTGGTTTTTACTGTAGAGACAGTAAAAGCAAAAATCATGCGATGCAAAAAGTAAGATGCTCCCAAATAGCAGCGACGAAAATTTGCATAACAGAGTACTTTATTTGCCAAAATATCAAATGCTTATTACTTACCTAACGAATCGTCAAATTGTGTATTCGTCTAGACACATTACGCATAAAAGAAAAAGAGAACACAGAACTATACATAGGAAAAAATGAGCCAAAGTAAGTGGAATATTAGAGGACGATAAGAGATAGCGCGCTCCACCGCGAGCAGCTTACTGTAAAGTTTGTTGTCTGTTGCGGGAAAGCTTCCTCTAATTGCTGTTGTACGCGATCAGAAGTAACCCTCGAAGAATTACTGCTTTTTGTTGCAAGGAACTTATCTATTTAATAAATAATAAATACACATTTTCGGCTTTTGTTGCACTAGAACTCAAAAAGTACTTGAAGCTTTGTTGTTACTATGATGTATATGATGTAACTGCATAACTAGTCGGTAATTCACTTTGTACATTATATTTATCCGTTTACCTCACATCTTTTTTATATAATGTATTGTGAGAATATTGCGGTTCATGCTCATTGCTTACAGAGTACATCGATGACGCTGCGCGTAGCCTCATAAGGAGAGGAGGAGCCAGCTGGAGGACAATCCACGAAATCCAAACCAGCGCCCTCCAGGGCTGGCACATTTTATGGCCCTTCTATTTTGATTGTTGTTTCGCCTTATTGTTGTCAGTTATCATGTTTCACCGCTGTTGTCTTATTCTAGGGAGATTAAGCTATGTGAAGGTTGAGTTAAATGAAGATACTTATGAGCATTTTAGAATATGTTCGTCGGGAAAGAGGACTATAGGACATCTATTATACTAATTGTCCAAGAGGTTATAACGTTATGACAGAAAGAAATTCAAGCGTTACCTTCCGCACTATCCGGACTTTGCCGAAATCTCGCTGTGATCCCAAAACTGAGCGGATGCATGCTTCGTATAAAAATAGGTCATCGAAGCTGGAGGACTGATGCCAGATTGAATAACAGACATGTGCTTCTCTTCGGGATTCAGGCGCAAGCGTTTCTAGTAGATAAGCCTGTAAATTCTCCAAGCTTATCTAACAAGGGCGCATCTTTCCAGAAAGCGCTTTAAAGATTTCTACTCTCATATCTCAAAAAGAATTAAACGATCTCTTCTTGCAATAGTTTTATCGTTACAAAGTAGAGGAACTTGCACGTTTGCAACTTACGTGTATAGCACCATTGTCGCTTCCATGGAAAGAATCTGGTAGATGAGTTTCAAAATTGGCGAAATTCATTAGAAAAATCCTTGAAAAGTCCGTGTTTTTCACAATGTATGAGCCCATTGCCACTTCCCAACTGCAAAACCGGTCGTAGAAGGTGATATCGTAGTTGGTGTCTATATATTCTTCAATCAATCTGAAATAGAGTTCTTGTTTGGCAAAACCAAAAATTGAAACTATAAGTCGGGAAGGGTCATTCAAGCTTGTGGTGGACCATTCTTTCAATTATTATTTTCCAATCTCGCTTCCTAACAAAAAAATGTAACAGTTCCTTGAAGCGATTGTTCGTGATTGGCAAGCCGGGTAAAGGAAAAAGTTCAAATCTTACATTTATTTTTTTTAGAAACTCCTCGCCATCTGAGACCACCCTCTTTTATTTTATAGTTTTTCTTGAAACGAGACTTGTGCATGACACAAATCTTGTCCCAAACAAACGATAAGCTTAGAATAATATTAAATTGAATTACGTCCTAGCAGCTCTAGTACTCGTGCTAAGCTGAAATAGCACGGCGCCCGAGAACTAGCTCTAGCAAACTTGACTGATGTGTGCCAGTGACAACATTACCGTAATCTATTACACGACCAGCAAAAGTCGGCTTTGAATTTTTCCAGTTCGCTCATACCTGTTCGGATTTATAACACCAATGTCTGCGTCAATGAAAAGAACCCAGTCAGTGGTTTTTAAGACTTCGGCGACAACGCAGTGCCGTCGGAACATAGTCTGCAATAAAACATTTTTAGTAAATATGGTCAACAAACTAAATGTAAAGAGTACATACGTCCCTGTGTCGACAGTGCCGGTATTCGTAGCTTTTTACTATTCGGAAAGGATAGTTGTGCATTTTGGAATAGCACTGCACCGTAT